CTTCTATAAGTTGAGCTAACAAATTTTAATGTAAGATGTCGCTCAGAGCAATTTTCTGTCGGTATATTGACTTCTTATCGTATCGACTTTCAAGTACAATTTCAGTGATTACAGATGTGATTGATTGACTCGTAAATTATTTATTTTTAGTAACATTTGTCCTCCGAGTTGATTTTAACGTGGTCAGAAAGGAGAAAAATCTACAGCATAGAATTAAACATGTTTTGTAATTCATGGAAGTCTTATAGTCTTCAGGGACTTTGAAAATTATTGGTCTTTAAGAACCTTGATAGTGGCCTCAAAGACGAAGTTGAGAAAGATTTGAAAGTATTAAACTCTCGAAACTGGTGAAAGATTTAAGGAAAGAACGTTTCAACTTCGAAACTGCGATGAAGGAAGATGAAACAAATAGTGAATAAATATGTATTTATGGATCAAATATGGAAACAACTTATACGAGTCAATGAATAAATGATGCCATACTGCGGTATAACGCGTCGCGGTGCGTTATAATAGAATCTGAACGCTCCATTTAAAAGGATATCAGGTATTTCGAGGAGATAGTACACAATGTGTTTTCAAATTTAAAGATTTACACATATGAACATTTGAACAGTTGGAGATTTTGAACCTAGAATTTGTAACATTTGAAAGTTTGGAATTTATAAATTGACAAATTTGAAAAATCAAAAATTTATGAATTGAAAAATTAAAAGATGCTGAAGCTTGTTAATTGAAGAATGAAAAAAGAACGAAACTTAGAAATTGAAAGAATGAACAAAGTATGAAACTTAGGAATTGAAAAATGAAAACAAACAGAAAATGAGCTGAAAAATTAAAAAATACACAAATTTATGGAATGAAAAATGAAAAATTTAAAAAATTTATGAATTGAAAAATTTTAAAAATCTGAAACTCATGAAATGAGAAATTAAAAATTCTAAACATGTAAGAATTGAAAAATGAAAAATTTCCAAAATTTATGAATTGAAAAATTAAAAAAATCTGAAACTTATGAATTGAGACGTTGAAAATTTAAAAAATACATGAATTAAGAAATTAAAGTTTTCAAAAGTTAATGAATTGAAAAATTAAAAAAATCTGAAACTTATGAATTAAAAAATTAAAAAATACTCAAATTTAAAAGTCGAAAAAACCGAAACAACTATGTATTCCTCGTATCCCCAACAATTCAGTCCATCGAAAGAACAGCACTTGCGTCCGATGTTTCAAAATGATATCGTTTTCGGCTATGGTCAATGACCCTGCGATAGAAACGCTTGCTATGCTATGTCAGTTGATTCTGGGTGGTAATACGTGGCGGTAAATATGTATTATCGATACTTGCCATTCGTGCAACGTATTCCACCTCCGCGTTATCGATGCTTTCGCGTTCGGCCTCGTGGTTTCGCGTCAGTCTACGTACAATCTGGATCAAATCGTCTGCTGAAATTTCATTGTCGCCGTCCAAGTCTGTAAACGAAGGATTGAACGATGTCGTTGCTCGGAAAGGGTTATCACAAGTTGACGTATCGCGCTTTAACGAGCTAACTACAAAATACGCATATGTGTACCATATTCTTCTTTGAAGACATTTTTCTTCTTTGAAGTACCTTGAATTTAACACCAATTCTTCTGGCAGATAACAATTTATATTTTCGCAAAGAGAAATGTTCAGAAACCCCTTTCTAGGAGTTACACTAGCTGTGAGGCATTCTATACATAAATTTGAAGTTAAGTTATAATTTGAACCTAAACAACTATTCCTGAATTTAAAATATTCTTAGCATTTCAACTTTTCTTACTAGTCCTAACGTTGCAGAAAAATACAACCCTGTAATAAATAAAAATTAAGTAAACCTTAATAGCAATTCAAAACAATGTCAGTTTTTTAGCTCTACATCATATTTTACACTGTTAGTCACCTAACGTGGCACTCAACGTGTTAAAGCGTTAATCACATTGATCTTCTATGACAAAGAAATAATTTATAAATGCATTGTTATATCTCTAAATTAGCTACGAGTTATCTTATTAAATGTGGAAACACGTTGATCCGAGCGTAGATTTCACAAGCGAACGAGAAAGTTTCGCAAGCTTTTTTCGTAACGAAAAAAAAAATTGGATTATAAAGGGTTAACATTCCCAGTCACGAATATTGCGTTCTCTGTTCATCTCTCTTTGTTTCTCCACGATTGTTTCTCTGCGTTCGGTAGTGGTGGTGCGATACCGTGTGTACCGTGAAATTAAACGACCCCGATTAACGAAATCGAGCGAAGTTCTCGCGTGTCGGTAATATCGGTCAGGTTTCCCTGATCAAAAAGAACCGGCAGCTAGTTTGTCCGCGTGATAGGTAAAAATTGTGGGACGACGCAACGTTAAAGCGGTATAATAGTGGACAATTAATTACCAAGGATACGAAATGCCCAAGCAGCGCGAATGTTTTCGGGACAATTTTCCGAAAAAGCTGAACATAGATCCAGCACGTCCTCCAAGCTTAGGCAGCCATCTTGTTTAGAAGAAAATACTCGATATATCGAGTCTTGGAATGGACTGTGCTGGAATAAAAAATTAGAGGGTGTTTTATGGTACCTGGATATCTGCGGTCATTTATTTTTAATTACTTTTCGGAATTTGGTGTTTTGAAACTTGATTTATTAACCGTATTTACCATTAATTATTGATTTTTTCATTTACTAATTGTTTGAATTATTAATTTATTCTCAATTACTTTTCAAAACTTTATTGAAGCTATTTCAAAATTTGTGTAATCAATCATATTTATTATCAATTATTAATTTCAACAATTCTTTTTTTAATGCAGTCTAGTGGATTTTATCTTATCTGCAATATGTATTTTATTCGATTTTCTAAACTAAATATTTGATAATATTTTTTTTATTTCTCATCAAGTTTAATGAAATTTTGCTTCGTCAACCACTTTTATTATTTCTTGTTCATAAGATAACCATCTCATATATTTATTTAGGTTAAAACAATTTTTGATTTTTTTAATAAATTTCTGATATCATGGCACCCATTAAAAGTGAAACGCTTTTCAACAAAATTCAACAACAAATTGAATTTAACAAAATTTAGTAATAATAATGAAAATTAATTTACCGCAATTTGAGGCAATATTGATCTGACTTGTTCGACGGTGAAACGATGGTGAAGATCGTTACGAAGTATTCCTGGCTCAATACTATTCAGGCGTTTGACGATGCTGAAGAAACGAGTGAAAAATTTAAAAATTGAACGTTTTTCAAGTATTATGTAAAGGTGGCATGAAAAGGAAACGTACTGAAAAGGGTAGCTAATATTTCAAACATGAAATACTTCGAAGATCAATGATTTCATATTTTGGCACTGCAACGTGCAATTCATTTATTTATTCATTTTCCTTGTACTACTTAGGATTTTATACTTTTATTTATTCAGTTATATATTTTATTCAGTTATTTATTTAGTTGTTGTTTTCCAAATATATATTTTTTCATTAATTTTGGATAATTAAAGAATTACTTTGCACTTTTCAATTGAATTAGGGAATTGTTTACTGAAAAATATCTATTTATAAAACATGTAATTTTAGCGTAAATTTTATCATAAATACTATATCTTGTCAATAATAGTATTTGTGTCAATGAAAATATTTTGATGATAAATTAAATAACATTGACATAATGTCTCTTTCAAATAAATAAATATCGATGTTTCATTACAATCAAATTGCAAAATAGTTATATTATAATTATAAATGTAGATGTAAAATTAATTCATAAATGAAAAGTAATCGTACAAAAATAATAAATAAATATACTAAATAAAAATAAATATTTATAGCATCGATTTGTTATACAACAAGTATTATATTAATATTTATATTATTAGTATTATATTAATATTTGTAATAAAATAAAGCATTATTAACTCATAGTGTTGATAACTATTAGCCAGTTAATTTCAACAGTATTAATTAAAAATTGAACAACAGTTGATCACTTTTATGTCATGAACAAAAATGTCTCTTTCATGTCACCTCTTATTTGCACAATTTACTCATGCATGGGAGTGTTTAATCACACAGGTGTGTTTATTCACCTCGCACAGCGCGGAAAATATTAGGGGCACCGCAAAGTAATGTCGTTTCTGCGCATGTCAACATTTGTCATTTATCAGCTAATTGTGTTCTTTGTCGTGCCAAAGTTTTCAGGTTAAATTGACTCGTTTACTTGTAAATAATTAAATCTGAAATTTTCCTTCGCAATTTTATGTGAAATAGCCGACCAAATACCAGAGGTACATATCCATTGTATGCTTTTTGAGTTTCACAAGGGTAGTAACGCAACAGTCGCTACCAAAAACATTTGCGATGTTTATCCAAGTGCATTAGACGTTCGCAAATGCCAAAGGTGGTTTTCCAATTATTCCGATCGCTACGAAACTTTCTAAGTGACAGAAAATTAGAAAATTTTGATGATATCCAAAATGCCGTCTCCAGTTATTTTGCCCGGAAACCAATTGATTTTTATCGAGCCGGCATTGAAAACTTGCACAGTAAATGGCAAAAGGTTGTCGATAACAAGGGTGATTACATTACTGATTAAAAATAAAAACTTGTTAAAAATTTGCTTGAATTTAATGTAAAAAGCGATATTACTTTTCGGTTCTTCTAATATACATATCTTTCCTATTTGATATATCTTATGTTTGATCACAGTTCGATAACTCACCAAAGTATTTCCCGTCGCTTCAAGTAAGTCAACTCTACGTAAGTAAGAAGAGTTTCTTCGTCGAGGATAAAGTCGTTGGACCACAAATTTCCCATAACGATGCGTTACTATCGATAAATTTCAATCAAACGTTGCGTTATTAATCATCTGTGCACTGCACGGTTATCTATGCGCCGATAAGACGTTATCTATTCGAAAGGTATTATTCGGAAACATTGCACGCGATATTTACAATTGAATCTAAACTACCGCCATCTGTGTTGCACTTTATAATGGCGGATTTTAACCGATACCGATGTTTCACGGTATTTAGTGTAACTGGTGATTAAACGTTACGATTGCAATATTTCATTATCAACAGTGATTAGATTGTTTCTCGGAAAATCTATAATTATAATCGAAAAGAGTACAGCAATAAATCATTAATACGTTATTCAATTTTTGATGAAATTAGTGTAATTAATAATTAAATGTTATAACTAAAATGTTTGATTGTTACAGTGTTTTGTGATTAGATTGGTTTTTGGACAATTTGTGATTAAAATAAAACATGTATGTATACCAATTAATCATTTTCGGTAAAATAAATAATTCACTTGTAATGTTTAATTATTAAATTATCAACAGTGATCTATAATTAAATTATCTTCCTATTCATCTATAATTGTAATTAGAAATTTGAGTACCTCGATAAATTATTAATACTCGAATAAATTTTTAACAAAATATATACATATACAATCAACTACAAAAACACAGACAACTTAACTTTTATTTATGCATAAAAATAAATTCAATAAATTATATAATATTATAAGCTAATCTTGAGCTAATCTTATAATAAAAAATTCATATTATAATAATTTTTTTTGTAAATAATTGATATTTACGTAATTACAAAGCATACACGAAGGATCTTCATGAACTCTAAACGATAATCAGGAAATGATGTTCAACGATCGATACGAATCTAATCTGAGATCAATGACAACGTTTTGACAACTCATTCTTCTTGACTACTGTAACAATTAATCAATCAATCAATCAAATTAATTTTAATCGTTTACTACGTAAATCTGATCGGTACTCTACACAATTTTGTGATATGTTATCGTAATTTCGGGAGGTTATAAATTTTTTGTCACTTCAAAGCAATTTATGTTTGGAGCTAAATTTTTAAGATGTTCAAATGCTCAAATTTCAAATTTCTCAAATTCCAAATTCTTCAAATTTCAAATTCCTCAAATTCCAAATTCCTCAAATTCTAAATTCCAGAAATTCCAAATTCCTCAAATTCCAAATTCCTCAAATTTCAAATTCTTCAAATTCCAAATTCCTCAAATTCCAAATTCCTCAAATTCCAAATTCCATAAATTCCAAATTCTTCAAATTTCAAATTCTTCAAATTCCAAGCTCCTCAAATTCCAAATTCCTCAAATTCCAAATTCCTCAAATTCCAAATTCCTCAAATTCCAAGTTCCTCAAATTCCAAATTCCTAAAATATCAAATTCCTCAAATTTCAAATTCTTTAAATTCCAAATTCTTAATATCCCAAATTCCTAAATTCTGAAATCACTGAAATCCCAACTCCATAAAACCTAAAATCCCTAAAACCCCAAATTCTTAAAATTCATTCCATACGTACATAAACGCTTCCAGCAAAAAAACAACCGTCATCATTTGCATATTACAAGAATTATTTATCCGCGTTCATTTCCTATTATTATTATTCCACATACGTCCCTCACACCGTTATTTATTAAGAGACAATGTTGCTACTCGATTTTCAATGTTGGTTGTCACCATTGTTTCGTGTTTCATACAATTTTCACAGAATTTATGCATGCGTTAGTATACTTGACTGGGTTTACGAAGCGGACAAAGCGGGACACTGCTGTTTTTGACGTCTTTGAGTATTCGTTTTGTCTTTTTTTCACGTTTCAACTTCGTAGATTTCCGGATTTACCAACCTTTCTATATTCACAGATTATCGTACTTTTCTCATTTTTTTACTTTCTGACTTTAAATTTTTCATTTCTAATATTTTCAAGCTTTTAAGTTTCAAGTTGACAAGCTTTCAAAGTATAAATTTTCAAGTTTTCAAGTTTTCAAATTTTTAAAGGTTTCAAGTTTTCAAGTTTTCACGTATTCAAGTTTTCAAATTATCAAGTTTTCAAGGTTTCAAATTCCCAAATTCCCAAATTCCCAAATTTCCAAATTTCCAAATTTTCAAATTCCCCAATTCTTAAATTCTCAAATCCGCAAATTCCCCAATTCCCAAATCTCCCAATTCTCAAATCCCCCAATTCCCAAATCCCCCAATTCCCAAATCCCCCAATTTCCAAATCCTCCAATTCCCAAATCCCCCAATTTCCAAATCCCCCAATTTCCAAATCCCCCAATTCCCAAATTCCCCAATTCCCAAATCCCCCAATTCCTAAATTTTCTTATCCCCAAATTCTCCAATTCACAAATCCCCCAATTCCCAAATCCCAAATCTCCCAATTCCCAAATCCCCCAATTCCCAAATCCCCCATTTTCCAAATCTCCCAATTCCCAAATCTCCGAATTCCCAAATCCCCCAATTCCCAAATCCCCCAATTCCTAAATTTTCTTATCCCCAAATTCCCCAATTCACAAATCCTCCAATTCCCAAATCCCAAATCTCCCAATTCCCAAATCCCCCAATTCCTAAATTCTCAAAATCTCAGCTTCCCAAATCTCCTCATCCCCAAATTCCAATCTCTCCAAACCTCCTTCCCCAGCCCAATCCTCAAAAACCCAATCTGTAAACCTCATTAACCTCCAAATTCCTAACCCCCAAAATCGCAAAATCTCCACAATTCCAATAAATCCACCCTTACATCAACCAAACACATTCATGCACCCCGTCACAATCACCCCTAGTAGCATCAAAGAAGCAAGAGCAAACGCAAATTCCTAAAGGTCCCTTCATGCACACGGCAATTACCCGAATGTTACAACTAGAGAAAAGTAACGAGGATAAAGTTATTATTAGGCAAAACGATAACTGGTAGGTTTGTAGAGTCGAAAAGCGGCCAATAATTATTACACGACTCCACGAAGCGGTTATTGTCCCAATTTGGGGGTCGCTTTGCGGATAATGGGTGTGCTCGAGAGGTCATGTGAGTCTGACGTTCCGGCATGTCAACGGCAACTATGCATCATCGGATGTCTGCCGCACGTAAACGCCTGTTCCCTTTCTACCTCGCCTCCTTCTCTATCGCCATTCGTCTCTCTCTGTTCGGCCATCGGTATCCGTATATTTCGCTTTCCGTCTTTGCGTCGCGTTTACTCTTTCATTTCCCATCCTCCCTCGGCCGCCATCCCGTCTCGTCAACGTTCAATTTTATCGTTGCTGCTTCCATTTTATATTTATCCTTATTCCACCGATTTCTCCTCGTTCTATGGCTTTCTTCATTTACGGACGATTCCTTACGGACAGGCTAAAGTTGCCTCGTGTGAACACCTCTCCTAGACAAAACCCTGCTTATCTTCGTTATGAAGCTTTTCCGAGAGTTATTTCGTGATCGTTTGATTTCTTTGTATATTGTAGTTAATTTACATTGAAACGTTGTTTATCAAATTGAAGCTCTCACAATTTAACCCTTACACAATTTCATCCTTACTCCATAACTACGTGTCACATATGTGACGTATACTACAGTAGGAAATGTGATAGACTAGACTCGTATTTCCAAGTCCAAAAATTTCTAGATTTTTAAATCTTCAATTAGTACAATTTTTGTCTAATTTCATCAAATGTCCACTTTTCTATAAATTCTACAAATTTTAAAACTGTAATTGTGAACCGATTTTAGGAATTTTTCAGAAACCACTTAGTAATGAGACGTTGTACGCCGCCATTTTGTCTATGTTAGCTTACATCAAGACCTGCCACTTCTTCTCTAAAACAACGTCTCATATTTCCGATTGAAACACGTTACTGAATATTATTGTATCAATTATTACACAAGAATTTGGGGATAATAAAAAATAAATTTCGATTTCCCAAATCAACTAATAATTTTATAATTTTCACAAAGAACTTTGTGAGACTATGTAACTATGTGACATATTGCAGTAAGACTTCCTAGCCAGAAATAGTTCCATGTTAGATTTTACCCCACCTTAATCTTGGTTTCAGGCGTTTGAATAACGTCATTGTCCACATTTTCACTTCCGTTTCGGTCATGGAGCAAACTGATCCACATAACCGCGATCAGACATACGGGTCACGCGGACAATAAGCGAACCGCCATTGGCGGGGAATTATGGATTTCGAATCGGCGCCGTTGCTGCAGGTATTTTAATTAATGTCTGCATTACCGTAGAAAATTATAAAACACCCGTATACGAGTTTCATATTGTATTTATATTAAACTGCGTCGCACGCGGAGCACAGCAATCTGTTTTCGGTTACTGTATTCATAAATTGAAAATAGGTGTCGAGTATTTTAAAATCTTCAAATTTTATGAGTGTCATGCATAAATAACTAATTATTAATATAATTTGAAAGGGAAACAAAATTAAAAATGTTCGGGATGTTTTGTGTTCAACGATTCGTGAATGTGAAGGTTATAATTAAAAATGAACTCCAAATTCAATTGAGATGAAAATACGTTTTATAGTGTACGTCACGAGTGACACGATATAGGGCGAAGGGTTATGCGTTTAGTTTATGGAACAAGTTTATGTGACTAAGAGTGAACTTTCCTAACTTTGCTTTCTATGTACACTGACACATATACGCTTTCACAAGTGATTCGTTATCGAGTTCAACTACAATTTATTCAGTAGGTGAGTCACGATTAACCCTTAAACTTATGATTTTCCAAGTGATTTAGGTGTGTAGTTTGACACTACATTTGTGTCGATCATAATCGCTGTACTTTGTTTTCATCAACTTTTCGATACTACCTATCGTGACTGAGCGGTTGGGCCCAAACCGATCAGTTACCGAGGGACTCTGCGGAGTAGGAATCCAACGAAATCTACGTTTCAATTCTATATCTCAGAATATTTTTTCTGGACCAAGTAAACAACGATTATACTAGTAGGGGTGCCATCAGGACGAATTTGTATCGTTGAAGACATTCTCAAATATAAGAATAGAAAAGTAGACTTTTGCCGTGAGAAGACAAAATAAAGAAATCTAAGATATTCTAAACGCGTCCACGAAACTCATTCGGTGAAGTCTCACACCTCGAACTATTTCAATCTTGTGTCTGCTTCATTATGTTTATACACCGCGTGCATAGTACCATAACTTCAGTTAAAAAATATTTACTTCAAAGTTCTGTATTAAACTGAATAGTGTCACCTTTCGAGTTAATTTCAGAAAAGAATTCTTGAAAATGAAGTTTGCTCCGCGGACATTAAAGTGGCATTAAAGAGTTTTTCTTCCAAGGATCTACTGCCAAGATTATTCGTGAAACAGGGTAAAGTCGTACGTCTTTTTCGGCAGCGAAAGTTGTTCGCTTTCGCAAGGACAGTTCCGATCGACATGGACGCACACCCTAAGGTACGCGCGCGATGTTCCAACACGTATAGATGGAGGGCGCGCGGGCAAGTGCAGGATCGAGGTAGCTGCATATCTCCAGCCTAGGAATTGGAATGGATGGCGAACGTGGGTACAATAGTTCGCATTGTATTGGATCTCTCCGAGTGATAGGCACTCCCTCCCTGTTCGTATCCCCCTATCTATCCATTCTCGTCTATCTCGCTGGTTCTGTTTCGCTCCGCCGTATGTTCCTCCACATCCACCGTCTACCCTTCTCCTCCGAGTCGCCCACCCTCGTCGTATCTCATTTTACGAAGGCCTCGAGCGTGCGTTATTATGCGCGTTATGCCGGTGCCTCGCTATTCTATCGCCGTTGCAGCCAACTGCATCGTTTCTGCCCGTTTTCTGCGCTTCCGCTCGCAGCTACGGCATTTGGCCCGCGTGTCCTGCGACCCACCGACTTTCGGAACTAACTCGGATCCGACCAACCAATCGAATCGAAAACGAATCGATCGATTCCTCGAACTATTCCCTAACAAAACTTTACGCGGAAATTCCACTCTATTTCTATTCTCGATAACGACTAGCGAACATATCAAACTTTTTTCTACCGTAACCGTGTTAACGTTGCGCGATACAGTGGCATTTTTACGTGCGAAACTTTCCGATTTCTGCGAAAACATTTTGCGCGTTTTATTTTAAAAATTGGTACTCATGGATTGATCTGATTGATAGTCATCATATTTGGTATTATACAATGTATGATTTAGATAGTGATTGCTTGTCAACGAGTGGAACGTTTATTAATTTGCTCCCATTTTATTTTAAAAATTAATATTCATCACTATTCACACGTCTGTCATACAATATATGATTTATTTAATATTTAATATTCAATGCTTGTCAACGAGTGAAATGTGTTATTTTGCTCCTATTTTACTTTAAAAATTAATACTTATCACTATGTCTATATCTGTCATACAGTATATGCTTTAATTAATATTTAATATTCAATGATTGTCAACGAGTGAAATGTGTTATTTTGCTCCTATTTTACTTTAAAAATTAATACTCATCACTATGTCTATATCTGTCATACAGTATATGATTTAATTAATATTTAATATTCAATGCTTGTCAACGAGTGAAATGTGTTATTTTGCTCCTATTTTACTTTAAAAATTAATACTCATCATTATGTCTATACCTATCTCACAGTATGAAATGTGTTGTAAATCTGCCCATCACTATATATATACATGTCCTACATTATATGATTTATTTAATATTTAATATCAAATACTTGTTACCGAGCGGAATGCTTATTTTGTCCCCATTGAAACGTCATGACTTTTTATTTACACTCTTATAGTTCCCTAATTTATGAGGAGGTTGATTAGTTCATTATCGAGTAATCGTTCGTGAAACGATCACGATGCGAACGAAGAATTTGTTTTAATTACGATTTTATTACCGACAACGAGTATTATAATCGAAATTAACTCGCCCATGGAACGATATATTATATTTTTAATTTGCAATTTGGTTCCGACTACCGCTACACCGGGGAATTTACGAAGTATCGTCGATATAACTTCATGACGGTTTGGTGAAATTCTCCCGATAGAAGGTATCGTGAAAAATGAAATTATCCGGAAACCATGGTAGCTGGAAACCGGAAAGGGAGTTAAGCGGCCTTCGTTCGGCAAATAATTGATGCGCGTCAATTAGATTTGTCAGGGTGATCGTCGTAATGAAATTAACAGGAACACCGGCCGTAGACGCGTACGAACGTATAACTGGTAATAGATACGTATATCCTCGCGGAATCGTTTCACCTACATGGTGTATTGTGAATTACGCGTTATTCGATATTTTACCCCTTTAACTGCTGGCGATAAAAAATATATAAAACTTCGTGAAATTAAAGAGTCCTCGTTATTTGCCGATTTGTAGTCGCGTATCCGGTTATAAATTAGATCAGAGGCTCTCAACTGGTTTGTTCCGTGATACAACACTGGCTTTCATCGGTAAAATCATTTTAGGATTTTTGGATTTTGGAATTTTTGGAGGTGTGAGATCTTGAGATTTTGAGACTATGGAAATGTTGGATTTGTGTGATTTTGGGATTTTGGAATGATGGAAAGTGGGAATGTTGAAATGAGGGAATTTTGGAATGTTGTACTGTTGGACTGTTGCAATTTTGGAATGTTGGAATGATGGCATATTGGAATATTGGATTGTTGGAAATTTTGAAATTTGTGAATTTTGGAATGTGTGAATTTTAGAATTTTGGTATTTTAGAATTTTGGAATTTTGGAATTTTGGAATTTTGGAATTTGGAAATTTTTGGAAGATTCATGGAACCCAATTTGGGAATTTGGTAATTTGGAGATTTAGAAAATTGGGGAATTGAAAATTTTGGGAATTGCACATTTGAGGAATTGCAAACTTGGGAATTTGGAAATTTGGGGAATTGAAAATTTGGAGAATTCCAAACTTGAGGAATTACAAATTTGGGGAATTGGAAATTTGGTGGATTTAGAAATTTGGGGATTTGGAAATTTGAAAAATTGCAAATTTAGGGAATTGCAGACTTGGGAATTTGGAAATTTGGGGAATTGCAAACTTGAGGCATTGCAAATTTGGGGAATTGCAAGCTTGGGGATTTGGATATTTTAGAAATTGGAAATTTGAGGAATTGCAAACTTGGGAATTTGGAAGTTTGGGGAATTGCAAACCTGAGGAATTGCAAATTTGGGGATTTAGAAATTTTGGGAATTGCAAACTTGGGGATTTGGATATTTGAGGAATTGCAAATTTGGGTAATTGCAAACTTGGGGAATTGCAATCTTGGGGATTTGGAAGTTTGAAAAATTAAAAATTTGGAGATTTGGTAATTTTGTGAATTGTGAAAATTTCCAATTTCTGGAGATTTGTTGATTGAAAATCTAGAGATTTAGAAATTTGAAGAGTTGGAAACTTCTAAATTTCAAAATTTGAAGATTTGAAATGTTATAAAAGAAATTAAAAGTGGATTCTATCGCAACACGGATTTACGTGAACATTCGAACGTATCGAAGGGAAGATTCATGGGACACCCTGTATGGACACACGTAGGCGGTACATCCGTGTACCTGTCTGCTCTTGCCATAGAGCCGGTAGCGTGAAATTTAAATTTTTCCAATACCGGATACCGCTAATTCCGTTGATCCGGTAAAACTGCTAGAAATTCCTATCTCGCTTTCCGGTTAACGAAGATAACGCGATAGCTCTGGCTGCTCTACCGAGAAAACGGCCAATTATCGGTCTACTTATCGATGACAGCTTCCACGTCGCGTTAATCTTTCGATTCTTTTCGCCTGTTCTTGTCGTCGTTAGTCGTTTCGTTCGACAAGAACGGCAAAAATCTCCTTTCCCTACCATTAACGCTTCGGAGGAGATTCTGCTAATGGTACTAGCTACCACAGTTGAAAAACGAAATCTACGAGTGACTGTTTATATCGAACACTTTCATTCGATTAGCTTATTGCTACGAGAAAGTAGCGAAAGCATTTGATACCCATGTTATTCTGACACCTTATGGATGATACTGTAATTAGAAATAAGTGTAACTTCAAATTATATGTGTAGAATGCCTCACAGCTAGTGTAACTTCTCGAAAGGGGTTTCTGAACATTTTCCTTTGCAAAAATGGGGTTTGTAGCTTTTTGAATTATTAACATTTTTGATGGCCGCATGTCTACACAGTCAAACGTCCAGGGACTGGCAATATTTTTGAAGAATTAAGTTTAACAAACTTACAATTAATTATTTACAATAATCAATATCTGATTAAATTTACAAAAATCAATACCTGATCAAATTTACAATAATCAATATTCGGTTAAATTTACAATAATCGATATTTGATCAAATTTATAATAATCAATATCCCATTAAATTTACAAAATTCAATTTACACTATTCAATAATTAGTTAAATTCACAGTATTCATCTAATCGATCCGGGAATACTTTGATTTACAATTTAGGAATTAAACCCATCATGTTCCGTCTCAAAATTTTGCCCGATGGAGTTTTAGGGATGTCTCCGACAAATATAACGCCGCCTCTTATCCATTTCTCCGGTGACAGGTTTCCTGTGAATTATTGCACTCGATATTAATCACAAAAACATACAAACTGGTATACATACAAACTCCACAAACAGAACTATAGCAAATTCAACATCAACCAAATTATTATTGATAACAAAACTTCAAAATCATTATGCAACAAAACGGTGAATTTTACACATATAGTTCATGTAACACTTTTTATCCTCTCGACGAGTATTATAGGATTCAGTGATAAAATAATTTGACCTTGAGTTTCGTGGTCAAGGTTATTCTTGCAAGAATTCTATTTTACATATTTTCACCGATTTACCGGTGTAAAGTCATGCTATAGTGCTGTTTATGCATCATAAACTTGATAATTGTCTAGCGATCGAATACTTTGAGTATTATTTTTGGGGATCTTTGGGACCTCTGGAAAATTGATACATTTCGGCGGTCTTCGTTTGTCTTATACTGTTTTGGTCAGGAGAAACAAGGAGATGTTTCCAAAAATGTGCAAACTGCGATTTCGTAATTTCTGTAGTTTCAAAAAGCAATATTTTGTTCTACTTTTTTCAGAGATATTCTTTAGACTATATTTGAGAGTATAGAGATTTTGCAATTTCACTTTAAAAACTTTTTAAAAAATGTTTCCATACGTGTTCGTTCGTGTGGGGTTTTAAAAAGTTTTCAAAGCGAAATTGCAAAATCTCTATACGACTCTCAAGTATAGTCTAAAGAATATCTCCGAAAAAAGTACAACAAAATATTGCTTTCTGGCTTGAAATTACTAGAATTACGAAATCGCACTTTGCACATTTTTGGAAACCTCTTCTGACCAAAATAAGATAAATTACCGGAGCGTATTTTCAAGAGGTTCCCAAAAATCAGTCCTGAGTCACAAAATCCAATGGTCACAAGACAAATCCCTATCGATTAAAAGTAGAGAAATGCACTCACTGTTCGCAAATTCCACAATTTCCTCAGCGGACGGGTTGGTACCCGGTTGTTTGACAACAAAAGCGATCGGTATTTCGCCGCTGACCTCGTGCGGTTTCCCTAAAACTGCGACATCCTTGACGTTCGGATGCGTCAGAATCACAGCTTCTAGCTCTGACGGCGACACTTGGTAACCTTTGTATTTGATCAATTCTTTTATCCGACCGGTGATATACAAAACGTTTTTCTCGTCCAGGTATCCTAAATCCCCGGTGTGACACCAATTATCTTTGTCGATCGTTTCCGCGGTGACTTTCGGGTTCTTGAAGTAACCCATCATCACTTGATCGCCCTTAAAGCAAACTTCACCGACCCCTCTTGTCCCGAGGGATTTGCCCGTTTCCGGATCCACTATTTTGCATTGAAATCCGTGTATCGCGACGCCTACGTTATCGTCTGTACTCTCCCTATCGCTCAGGTTCGACACTATGGATAATTCCGTCATGCCATAACCGTTCCGAACGTATCTCATTTTCGTGCGTCTCTGCACCTCTTTCCACATCTGAAACGGATATAGTGATTTTCATTGATGTCAGGTAGCAGGGATTTTTGCTAGCTTGTGAGGATGATGGACAGTTAATACATTTGCTACCTCGATCCACATATGGGGATTTCGATATACAATATTTTTTTACATTTTCATGTTTTCTTTTTTGCTTGAAATGGGATTCTATTAGATTACATATATGTATATGTTACGGTAAATTTGATTAATTTGGTGATTATGTGGAATTGCCGGTTATTATATACATACAACATTAATGGAGATTATACATATGTATACATATAACAATCGGTCATGACATATGTTTAATCTTAGTGCTGATTATATGTATAACAACCGGTAATTATACATATGCATAATGTAACATATACACATGTGTAACATATACATGTACGTAATATATACATATGCGTAACATACACATGTACGTAAGAAATACATAATGTAACATATACATGTATGTAGCGTATGCGTGTACGTAACATATACATATGTGTAACATATACATGTACGTAACACATACATATATGTAACATATACATAATGTAATATGTACATATATGTAACATATACATAATGTAATATGTACACATACGTCACATACACAAAATGCAACATATTCATACTGTAACATATACATATACGTAACATATCTTCATGCGCAACGTACATATGCATAATGTATAATGTGTGAATTCTTATATCCTACTTTTCAAATATTATTTTTTGTTTCAAGGTTACTTGAGAGAACTTGTAAGAATATTTGACATAGTATAAATATACAATCCACACGGTGAAATTGAAATGGAAATTTGGAAGTTAATGGGTTACGAGCGAATCTGGTTTTCTTGAGGTAAATGTGAAGGATGAGGAGAGAGAGAGGAAGGATAATGGTTGGTTGCAAAACCAGATTTCATTTGAACTTAGTGAGATTGCATATCTGAAACTGTAGACGGATGGAAATTTGTAAAGTTGTGAATTTGGAGATTTGGAAATTTAGGAGTATTCAGATTTGGGCAATTGGAAATTTTTTAATGAATATAAGATTGTGGGGATTGTATAGGGAATATAGGGTTTTGGGGATCTGGGAAGTTAAGGGTTTAGGGATTTAACATAGGAGGATAGGGAAAATTGGAAATTTGGTAACATTAAAGTTCGTCCAGTTGCAAATTCAGTTAATCTTTCAACTTCTTAATTTTCAAAATTTATAAATTCTTGAATTTCTAAAAATTTCTAAGTTTCAAAAGTTTATCGAAGATTAAAAATTTTCTGAATTCTCAAAATTTACTGAATTTATAAAGTTATTTAAATTTCCCAATTTTGACAAATTTCTCAAATTCTTAAAACTTGCACAGGTTTCTCAAATTTGTTAAATTCCATAAATTCACAGAATTTTCTGAATTCTCAAAATTAGACGTTTTATACGTTTCCTGAACAAAATCAGTCTACATTATTACATTAATTTAAAAGCACCTGTCATCTTATCAGATACCAACGTGTGAAAATATATTATTTATGCAGATATTATTTGGTAAATCTCGAACGCGTATGCGGTTGGTTTAACGAGAATAGATAGGTGACGTTGTTCACGGACATCGCGATATTTCGTTTTCACGTGCCGGTAAGTTGGAAGAGAATGGCTTAAATACTTGTGCGAAGCGAGCAACGCGCAAATTGCTTCCCTTCGAGAGGTTACTTTCCTGGCTGCCTTGGAGCTTTCTGACGGATGCTATGGTTTATTGCGAATGCACGAAATTCTTGGTTACTTTCCACTGAAAGCGATTACTTTCATTCTTCTTTGAAGTCGATCATTTCCTTCTTCCTCTTCCTTTTTGCAATGATTCAATTTCACAGTTTTTTTACACTTTTCTAACTATTGCGATTTTTACTCGAACTTTGTTATTTTTCTTATTTTTCTAATATATATTTTGAATTTTTAAACTTTGAGAACTTTCAGATTTAAAAATTCTTGTCTTTAGATATTGTTATGGAAATCTTACATTTTTTTAAGTTTTTTAATTTTTAAGGTACTGACAAATTTTTAAATGTGAAATTTTTAGATTGGTGAATTGTAAAATTTCCAAATGCCCAAATTTGTAAGTTGGAAAATTCCTAAACTGTCGAATTTCCAAATTTCCAAATTTCTAAATTCCAAAATTTCTGATCTTGCACGCCCCAAAATTCATAAACCCCCAAATTTGTAATTTCCAAAATTCCTAAATTCCCAAATCCCTAAATAGTCAAATTTCCAATCTTGCATATCCCAAAATTCTCAAAACCTCACACTCTCAAAAATTTCCACCCCGCAAAGAAAAATACATCGTTACACTATTAAACATTTTCCCCAAAGCGATCTAAATATCGTACTCGTAACAATAATTTCTGAGGAACGATGCCACTTCACATTTTGTTCCTATTAAACTCATTCTGAGCTCCGCTAATTATTCCTAGGTACTTCAAAAGTCTAACAATGTTGCTTTACTTGATAAATTAATATAATTGATAATAATACAATAACATTCGTTCTTAACAATTTCCCGACTAAAATTTACCTTCATTTGAAGTGGTGCCGCTCCACAAATTACTTCTCTGACGCTGGTGAAATCGTATTTCGGTACCATCTGGTGTTTAGCCAGAATTGTCATAACTGGAGGGACCAATGGAAGGTGGGTAATCCTGTACTCGTCGATCGCTTTGAAAAGCGAGACCGGCTTGAAATTTCGCATTATGTATATGATTGCACCTGTACTTATCGACATGCACATCATACCGACCGCGTAACCGTGGAATAATGGTAAGAATATCATTACACGGTCACCTGACCTTGAGTTCATACACTCTGGAGACCTTTAAACGAAAAACGATCAATTAACTATTGATTATATCAATATTACATTAGATTTTTTAGATTAGATTAGATTTGTCAGAACTAGAATTGTAAAATTCTGAATTTCCAACTGCCCAGAATCCTTAATTCTAATATTAAATTTCTCAAAATCCAAAATCTCGAAGTTTCAATAACATATAGTAAACATCCAATTGCGAAATGATTAATCAATTTCCGATTTGTTTCTAAGAAGCACGCATTTGTAGAATACAGTGGCTATTTATATCACAAATGAATGTGGGTCACGAGTGTGACTCGATGTTGCAAGTCAAGTGTCTTAACAGTAAATTAAGCACTAAACATTAAACATTTAATAGCGTATTAAATCGTACCATCGCGACTGAAAGAGATATTTAAGTGTTCGGTGCACTTTAAATAACAAATTACTTTTTCGTATCATAACTATTGAAAAAGATATTTGAGCGCATCAGCCTGTATATGAAGGCACTAGTCAGTCCACCCGCCTCGCAGAATGAAAAATAAATATCGCTCGCAAAATTCAATAAGAGAATAAGATATTCATGAAATTCGCGTGTTTTATTTCTGAAGAAGAGACAATATCAATAATCAGCTTTACTTTTTATAATGTTTGCAATATTAAAAAGACTGTTGTTTAAATCAGAATATTAGAAGCGGTGAAATTTCACGGACAATTAATTTTTAAAATCTGGTTCGTCGAATAACTTGTAACTATCGAGCTCTTTGATAAACTATATTCTTCGTGCGTTGGTCATAACAGAGAATGTGCAGCCCGTCCGGTGAACCGACTCTAGACGTATCTTTTGTGGTGCTTCTTCAATTTTGATCGCCACAAAACCTGTCCTAAAACCGTCTACAGTATCGGATCTCTGTGCAAAATTTCATGAAAAAATATTTTGTAGCTTTTGGCGATGACACGATGTACATAAAATTGAACTGAGGTTTATATAAGATAAGACAATATCGGTAAAGTCTATGTTCATCCATTCAGAAAATCGTTGATACAAACGAATCGCGGATGTTGACATGGTCGAGTAAAATTACATATAACAATTCTACATATTAGGTCTATACATACAAGGCGAATTGCTCACCTAATGTGACTTATGAATGTTAATAAATTTAGATGGGACAGCATAACGCCTTTTGGAAATCCAGTTGTCCCACTCGATCCCAAAATGGCTGCCATTCGTTTGGAATTATCGTCCACCGACACCGGTTTAAAGGTGTTCAAATTCACCATATTTTTATGTTTATCCAAAAGTTCTTTCAACGTGATCATCTGTCCATCGAGAGGCTCGTCGTCCACTTGTATCAACTTCATAGTCCAGCTTAAAGTTGGTGCAATTTCACTTATAATTTTTTCCGTGCGCCGCGTTACGAACATGACTCGAGGTTGATAGATGTCCAACATGTGTCTGTACTCTCCTGTGATTTTAATTAGCAATTTAGTCATTAATTAAGGATAATATTTGTAACTATATTTATAGCAGCATATTTGGGACTAAATGTGTAGTACTATAATATTTTTAAGTTCGGAAATTACAAATTTAATTTAACATAACAGAAATATAAAAGTTTTATAGAAACTTTCATCACATCGTTACAGATTACATAAACCTACTTTGTCTAACAAATTAACAGCGAAAGCAGCGTAAATCCTATCGATTCACCTGGCATCTTACCAGAAATACACCTACACGATACGCTCTCAAACTACAAATTCTCAACCAATAAAACAAAATAATCGTATACACATTTTACCAACTTTCAGTGTATGCCGGATTTAATGGCGCCCATGCAGCCCCCGTAAAGAAAGCCGCACACGCGACGACCATATAACTCGGATGATTTTCGCTCGCGATTCCAACTCTATCTTCAATTTGTATCCCATATCTTTTCAAAATGTCAGCGAGTACTACGCTCTTTTCAAGGATTTCGCGGCTCGTGTAATGTTTATTAGTCTGAATATCAACCTGAAATAATATGGAATCGTTACGATGACTGTATAACGAATGACGCTTTCGAAAACCGCATAAATTTTGGGATTTATGAGTTATCCATGTAAATTCAGCGTTACAATTCGTATATTTCGCATATTATTACAAATGTTAACGATAGTTTACTTGGCTCGTATAATTCACGATTACCTGAACAATGTTGTCTTCATGATCCTGCAGTCGTTGGTAGATGTACTGTCCCAGGGTTACATTTGGTATTTTTGTTCCTGGTAAACCGATAATGGTGTCACGTTTTATCTCCATTTTTGCTCGAGGTGTTCTTTACCTGAAGATGATAAAATACGTTATTATGTTGCTTATGTTATTTGTATTATTTTACATTCTATGTTATTTATGTCATTTTCTGTTATTTATAGTATTTGTGTTATTTGTAATGTAATGTATTGTGATGTACTGTATTGTAATATAATATAATGTAATGTAATGTACTGTGATGTACTGTAATGTAATGTAATGCAATGGAGTGAAATGAAACGTAACATAATTTTCTAACAATGCACTTAACTTGCAATTAATTCGCAAGTGAAGCACGCGTCAGAATATCACCCGCAATCTCTGAACGATTTCTATCGATAATTATGTACAGCATGCATAATAGGAAAATTAGAATTCCAAGGATCATAAATGTCACTTCGAATCGTCCAAAGTATGGCAACGGAATCAGCCGATCGATCGAACGAACGGTAAATTACGTTTAACGGGTAAACCCATCAGGATCCTTCTCGAACGATCTATTTCAGCAAATACCATCGACAGAATCCAAGGTCCACGTATCATTTCGTGCTTGAATACGCGTCGAGTTTTATCGTACGATCAGTGGCAGAAGTTCAAACTAATATCGTCGTTGAATCCATCCGGAGAAAAGCTCTTCCTTAACTACATACATATGACTAACTATAGACATACACGATCACTATTAGGTACATCACTAGATATACGATTGCTGTTAAATATGTCGCTAGATGTAGGATCAGTATTAGGTACATTACTAGGTATATGGGCACTATTGGGTACATCACTAGGTATATGATCACTGTTAGTTACATCACTGGATATACGATTACTATTACAAATTTTCAAGTTGTAACATATCTTCAGATTCAGAAATCCACAAATTCACAAACTCACAAATCCTTGAATATTCTGAGCGGCCCAAATTTAAGTTCCTAAATTTGCAAGTTCTAAAATTTCTAAACTTTCAAATTTTCGATTAGCACAATTTTTGCTTAATTTTCACTTTTCTATGAATTTTATAAATTTTAAAACTATAATTGCAAACCAATTGCAGGAATTTTGCAGAAGCCACCTAGTAGTGAGACGTTGAGTGTACGTCGCCATTTTGTCTAAGTCAGTCTACATGAAGATCTCCGCTTAAACATTTTCTTTTCTAAAACAATATTTTTCATATTCCCGATTGAAACACATTACCAAATATTATTATATCAATTACTATACAACAATCGTTATATCTTCTTACTAATTTGTACAACGTATATTTTATATATTAGGGGGACCGCAAAGTGATGTCGTTTCTGCGCACGTCAAAATTTATCATTTATCAGCTGATTATATTCTTTGTCGTGCCAAAGTTTTCAGGTTAAATTGACTCGTTTACTTGTAAATAATTAAATCTGAAATTTTCCTTTGCAATTTTATGTGAAATAGTCAGCCAAATACCTGAGGTACATATTCATTGTATGCTTCTTGAGTTTCACAAGGGTAGTAACGCAACAGTCGCTACCAAAAACAGTTGCGATGTTTATCCAAGTGCATTAGACGTTCGCAAATGCCAAAGGTGGTTTTCCAATTATTCCGATCGCTACGACACTTTCTAAGTGACAGAAAATTTGAAAATTTTGATGATATTCAAAATGCCATCACCAGTTATTTTGCCCGGAAACCAATTGATTTTTATCGAGCCGGCATTGAAAACTTGCACAGTAGATGGCAAACGGTTGTCGATAACAAGAGTGATTGCATTACTGATCAAAACTTGTTAAAAATATATTTGCTTGAATTTAATATTGAATTTAATATTGTGAGTGCTTTATAATGAGCTATTCCAGACTACAGAAATTATAGCTGTCCTAAATTTCAAGTTGAATATTTAAGCAAGGTTTGATATTCAAAATGCCATCTCCAGTTATTTTGCCCGGAAACCAATTGATTTTTATCGAGCCGGCATTGAAAACTTGCACAGTAGATGGCAAACGGTTGTCGATAACAAGGGTGATTACATTACTGATCAAAACTTGTTAAAAATATATTTGCTTGAATTTAATATTGAATTTAATATTGTGAGTGCTTTATAATGAGCTATTCCAGACTACAGAAATTATAGCTGTCCTAAATTTCAAGTTGAATATTTAAGCAAGGTTTGATATTCAAAATGCCATCTCCAGTTATTTTGCCCGGAAACCAATTGATTTTTATCGAGCCGGCATTGAAAACTTGCACAGTAGATGGCAAACGGTTGTCGATAACAAGGGTGATTACATTACTGATCAAAAATAAAAACTTGTTAAAAGTTTGCTTGAATTTAATATAAAAAGCGATATTACTTTCCGACCCCTCTAATAATTTCGTTTATTTCAGGACATAATATATGATAAATCTTTTATTTGTTATATCTTAAGCCTAGTACAATTTATTTGTCAGATGCGTCAGTCGAAACTTAAAATATTAAGTTATTATATAAAGCATTGTGGGTATTTTATAATAAGCTATCCATGACTACACAAATTATAGTTGGACCTAAATTTCAAGTTGAATATTTAAGCAATATTTTATGTTAAAAATGCATTTGCTAGAATTTAATGTAAAAGCATTACTTCCCGGTCTAATAGTACAAATATTCGAAGACAGTATTAAACTAGAATTTCTACAATCGGTGTCCAAGTGAAACGAAGCTTGACGTGGTAAAGGAATATCTGACGTTAAGAACGTACGGCTTATCCAGTTATCTGGAGTTATCGAGTTATCGGTAGAAGCCCGAAGCTAGAATGTCTTGAATATTCACGCGTCGGTGAAGAAGAGGCGGAGGAATGCGTTTCGGAAAATCAGCGGACTGGCTCGGTTGGCTGGGAATCGGTTGTTCAGGGTTAGTTTCAGCGCGTGCACGTCGCTGAAGGGTGTGGGTTAGCAGAGGGGGTGGACGGGGTATGAGTGCGCGTGCCACCCTGATTGTAGCAGCCATACTGGGACACGCGAGCCACATACCGACGATTCTTGGTTTCGTGCGGCGTGCCTAGACACCCGGGGAATACTTATGACTCGCCGAGAGCGTGCCACCCTCGGCCGAGCCAACGGGCGATGCCGCTTTAAAAAGTGTCCGCGTTTAATCTGGCGACCAACGCGGAATAGTCTGGAATTTAACTGTTGGTTAAAAGTAACGACGACAAACGGAACAAAGTTGGGAAGAAAACGTTGCGAATGAAAAGGTTAACGCTTCCAGGCACGCCGACGATGAGTTTCGAAATGGTTTTGGTAATTGTATGCGTATACAGGCTCTCTTGTAATCGACTTCGTATATTTTGTCGAGGATGTTGTCTATGGTTTCTTATTACACGTGTAATGGTTGCTCCACTTTAATTTTGGAGAAACTTTAATTATTCGAGAGAGTATTTGCGACGTAATTTATGGGAGGGATGAGATCATTTGCATGATCTTAATATACATTTTGTCGAGCACGTCGTTGTAAACAGTTTTTTATTAAGCATGTAATTGCTGTTTGGCTTTAATTTTAGAGGTATTCGCAAACGTATTTGTTATGCGCTTTTATTTGTGAAAAAGCGTACACTTCACTGATTTCGATGAGTTTGAAATATTTTGCCAAAATCAATTTGTAAATTTATAAGTGCCTAGACTTGCAAGCAAATTCTGTAAATTTGAAAGTGATTAAATTTCTAAATTTCTAAAATCAGAAGTTCGTAAAATATCCAAACTTGATATGACACGACGGAAATTATATTTCTTTCATAACAAAAATGTTCTCAAAATACAGAACATCTTGTACTGCCCTAATTAAAACCTTAATTACCTTAATTGAAATGTTTATTCACTAATATCTCAATTTTTACCGTCCAGAATCTAAAAAGCAACTTATTCTCATTTATCCTATCAGTTCATATGATTAAGTTCCATTTCTATAAAGTACCTATTGTATTTTTCACCTTTCGTTTCCGTTTCCCGTAGACCAGCAAGTCGATACCGAAAGAAAACTATTCATCAACGAGACGGCTTCGTGGTATCGAGTTTTCTTTTCGATTTCTTCGACTTTTCGCCATGTTACTCGCATGATTTTGCTCTCGTAAAAAATATTTCTAGAAAAGGCTACTACTCATAGGAAAAATATTTAACAAGTTATTAGCTTTATTGAAACTTCAATCTCACAATTCATTAAAAAATCTGAGACCATAAAGTATACATGAACATATTACGGAAAGTAATATCGTTTTTATATTAAATTCACGCAAACACATTTTTAACAAGTTTTCATTAATGTGTCTCAGTGAACATTGCAGAGGTTTATTCAATGTAATATTTTCTAAAGTCAAGTACTGCTTTAGGATGTAATCTTCATTTCATTTACATATGTTCTATAAATATGACTGTAAATAAAATTTTCAACATCATGTTCGAAATTATTTGAACTATGTTTGTATTATATTAAGTTTGATACTTGTAGAAAACATTTAAAATGGACCATACGTATGAGTTGATTAAATGTAATAAGTACAATCGTAAACCAAATTCTAATTTTACCCAGCGAGAAATTACTCGAATATTTGCTTGGCATCAGCAAAGATACAAACTGGATCATGGATCAAATGAGAGATAGTCGATATTTAAGTAGTTTATTCCACGAAGAGCTCTTCAGCATCTGATATTCATTTAGGACGCGTCAAGCTACATTTCACTTAGATACCGAAGTGCGATTGTAAAGCAAATTCCAGCTTCAATACCGTGTTCGAAGTTATTCGAACTATTTGTATTATTTCAGTTTTCGGCTCTAAGCGGAAAACATTCAAAACGGATCATGTAGACGGATTGTTCAAAAGTGAGTCAGTGGATATTGCAGTGGTTTATTCGATGAAATACCTTTTAACGTTAGATATTCATTTTGGAGCGTGTCAAACTTCGTTTCATTTAGGTATGGACTACAAGAATGTAAAACAAATTCCAATTTCAGTATCCCGTTCGGAGTTATGTGAACTATTCCAATATTTGTATTATTTCAATTTTTACAGCTCTAGGCGGGAAATATTTCAAATGGATGATGGAGGTGGGTTCAAAAGTGAGTCTGTGTATATTGGTTTATTTGATGAAATAATTTTTTCGGGTTTTTTTAAAACGTTTAATGATGAACGAGTGAATTCTTTTTACTGGAATCAGAGAAAATTAATTTCGAAACTTTTGGAGATTAGAACTTGAAAATTATAAAATTGCAGATTCTGTACTGAGAAACTTGCAGAACGTTCATTTGACTGATTTGATAGTTTCTGTCAAATGAAAAACGTGATGATAAGATTTTATGAACTAGAACACACTTTTAAAATGATTTGCCATTCGCTTATTTGCATTAAATTATTTTAAAAGTGTGTCCTTCATGAAATTTCATCACATTTTTCATTTAACACCAAATCAGTGAAATGATTGTTCTACAAGTTTTTCATTACAAATTAAAAAATTTGTTAAGGTTCTTGAAATGCTGATTTTTATCGGCACCAAAAATTAATGCGTACAATGATTTACATTTATTTCTCAACTAAATATTCTATTTCACGATAAGTATGTATTATGCGTCGATAGCTCAGTATTGAGCCATCATAAATGTACATTACAGCGTCAGCAGTAGTGACGATTAAACGCAGCGTGGAATCATTAGTATTCCCAACAAGTGAATATAAGTGGTGTCTACAAAATTTCATTTAAAACGACTAGAGTTTATTTTGCTATGTACTTAATGACTCGAGAGTGTCTCTTCGAAGAATTTTTATGTTTCACAAAAGTTCGGAGTGAGTACAATTTTTGTGACATTGGCGAGGGAAAACGGTTTCTGATTTTCTATTGGTCTAGCTAAAATTTGGGTGAAGATGGAAAATGATGTATGAAGTGGGTTTGTTTCCCCAAAGTGACCGTAGTAAGTAATAAAACCAAGCAATACCTCGACACGTATCGAAAACTACAAACAAATGTCTACTACTAAGGTCAAGGGTTCACGGCCAAATGTGACTAGAATGTAATGACGCCTTATTGCTGCTATGAGTAAAGATTTGAAACTACAAATGAAACGAAAAATCGTGAAAGTATTGTATCGCTAGAAACTTGTATCGAGGGTTAATTTACTTGCTGTAATGTGCATTCTATGACCTAACAGGAGTGTTGATAGGAAATTGAGAAACTTGCAAATGAGATTCGGAAACTGAGGAAAATGAATTTTATAATGGCACGCAGTGGTAAATTCGAATATTTAGAAATTGAGAAAATGTACATTTCTGAAATCAAGAAATAGTGAAATTGTGTAACACGAGAAGCGAAAAACTGTAGGAATGAGAAAATTGAGAAATTAAAGAAATGAGAACTTTAGTGTATCGCCAAAAACTTGTCTAACCTCGCTGTAATATTCGACCTGACAGTAAATAAATTCGGGCCCTAAAATACGAAAGTAAAAATTTGATTAAAATATCTGGGTTTCTTCCATTAAAATAATTTCGGCTAAAATTTAAGAGACTTTGTTTAACTTTGAATTTCAGTTTTTTACGCGGCGAGGTGCGAACACAAAGAAAAGCCGTCCATGCGTGCGTTATGACACCGAAACGCAATTTTATATTTAAAAAGTCATCCCAACGCTTCTAGCCGACGGACGTCCGTTAGGTTTTAAAAATCTGAGCCTCTTCTGAATTAATTCGTGCAACGAAAAGCGTCTCTCGAACGCGTTAAAAGAGATATTTTATAGGAAAAAAGCTTTCGCGCTTGTTCCCGTGCAAGTTCTAAATGTCTGAACCCATTAGTTCCTCTATCCTGCGTAACTTTCATCGTTCGATCAAAGAAAGTCTTTCCTGCGCGGCAAACTTCCATTTCATGAAATGTTTACGGCCGGTTAAATATCGTTTAAGTAGGAGAAAACTCCGCGAACTTTTAGCACGAATGTGTGTACTTTGTGAGGTCAGAGGATACGACACTAATCATGGATAAACGTTGCTATGTTTAACGAAAACCTATTCATGAAGTTTCAAGAGATCTACCTTTACTCGAGGAAATATAGCAACTGGAGACATTCCACTTGTTGATTTTCGGGGTTTAACAATTTTTGAGATTTTATCATTTTTAGGGTTGAAAATTTCAGATTTGATCTTTGACATACCTTTCACAGCGGATATGGGAATCTATATGGAAAGGAGAACTAGAAATTTGGAGATGTAAATACTTAAATTTTTCAAATTTCCACGATCTTAAATTCTCAAATTTCGAAAATTGTCAAACTTAAAAATTCTCAAATTTCTAAATTTCCACAATGGAAAGTGTTTATGTCGTCAAACATCCAAATGTCATAATTTGCAAATTCCTCAACGCTATATTTCAAATCCTATTTTTCCAAATTTATCAATCTTCATAATCCATAACTTCCAAATGCCCAGATTTATAACTTCTTAAATTCTCAAATTTCTACCTGTCCAAAATTAATTAAAACTAATTGAACCTTTCAAACATTATGGATCTTCAACTTTTCAAAGTGCAAATGTTTCGAATTTCCCGAGCTTTCAGATTTGCTGTGCCACTATCGAGTCACCCTGTATGTGTAAGTAATAGATACAAGAAAGTCGATGAATTGGTAATTTTGGCCTGGATCGGGTTGCATCTTATTTCGCTTACTCGACGTTCCGAAGAAATCACGCCGATAACGGGAAACAATTTTCCCGGCACAACTGTATATTCGAATCGGTTTCCCCGGCTGATTTCTCATCGTCCCGTCGCGTACCAAACGAAATTAACCCTTTTAACGTCGAGCAACGATATATCGTTGTTAGCGACACTTGCGAAACACTCGAGCCATTTATTCTCGCTTTATTTTGTGATCTTTTTCAACTTCCTTCACTTTTTTACGATTTTCTTAAGTCTATGTTTTTTTTTAAATGTTCTAACTTTTAAGTAGATTTGTTTTAGCAAATTTTTCAATCTCTTAGATATTCGTTGCTTAAACCATTGTACTTAATATTTTTGTTTAGTTAAAGTTGTAAATGTTTGCACTTAAAATTTACAAATTCTTGAATTTACAAATTTACAGATTTGCAGCTAATTACGACAGTGTCAGCCAAGCACTACCACATGCAGGTAATTAAAATTCTTTCTCATAGCATAATACTATAGCCTATCTATAATAGTCCAGCTAGAAAATTTCAAATTTGCTTTTACATTTATAAACCAATTCCAAATATTCATACCTACCAATTTAAAAATTTATGAAACGTATACCATTTTCCCGTTTTAAGATAATACAAATTGAACTTAAGCCCAGTGAAATCTACCTTGAGCATAGTACATGTTACGAAATACTCCTGTTGCAAGGTTAACTTACGGTAACATTTAAAAATGCAGGAGTTCTGCCTGGAATATCTGGACCTTGGACCGCGAAGAGTTAATTAAAGATTCGATGATTTCAGTGCACCCAACGGTGTACCCTGCCGAACCTTTCAACCCTGAAGAAGATACTGCTCTCCTTCGAACCGCCATGAAGGGTTTCGGTACCGACGAACCAACCATCATCGACGTCCTCGTCCATGGCGGCATAGTGCAGCGTCTCGAAATTGCCGACAAATTCAAAACGATGTACGGAAAAGATTTGATATCCGAATTGAAATCGGAACTCGGTGGTAACTTCGAAAAGGCTATCTCAGCGTTAATGACACCGCTGCCGGAGTATTACGCTAAAGAACTCCATGATGCAATTTCCGGTATGGACACTGACGAAGGAGCTCTCATCGAGGTGCTAGCATCGCTCAGCAATTATGGCATCAAGACCATATCTGCCGTTTACAAGGAACGTAAGTGAACCCGCACAGTGACGCATCTTCGAGCAATTACGTTACAATGCATGATTGTTTGTGGAGAACGAGCGAATTTTAATTGAATTCGTGAAACGAACGTTACGCAAGGGGTTAAGTTCTTTCGGTCGGCACTAAAAGGGTTAATCAAGGGTCACGTTTTCCCTGAAACAATGCTTTCAGGATGCCATTAGAGGAAACTGCGGGGCGTGGTAATCACGATACCTAATGGTATCTGACGTGCACCGATGTGAAATTTGATTCTCGAAATACCGGCATTTAGCTCGTACTCGATGACTTTACGCGATTTAAGTGGATAAGCAAAGCGACTTACTTACGTAGACATGTTACCGGTAAAGTTTGTAATTCAGCTTTCCAGCTAGACCATGGAAATTCGACACGTTCGTTGAATACGTTATCCATTGTACTCTATCGTGAATAGAACGCGACAATTAAAGCGTTACTTTTCGAACAAAAGTGTATAATAAATGAAAAGCGGGCTTAATATAAACGTTGATACAGAGGGAAAAATGGATAAAACGAAGCAAGACAAGAATCTGCACGATCAGGTTATAACTTCGAGAAACGAACGTATAAAACTCGTATGATGAACTGATGTGTGACGAATTTTGCAAACAGAGCAAGGCACAAGTGACAGAGGAAAATGAAGTTTCTGATTCTAAATTCCATGAATTTTAGGTAGGTTATGTTTTTATAAAGGGGAGTTTGGTGATTTGGAGAAGTGTAAACACATTACGTGTTTAGGAGTTTGAAGATTCCAAAATCTAACTCCTTAACATAATTAGTTTATGAGTTTGCACATTTCAAAATCATCTAGCAAATTTATGAACTTCAGAAATTTCATTAGAAAATCTAGGAATCCCCTAACAGTCTGATAATCAGCAGTTCAATTATTTAGAAACCTCCAAACTTCACTGTCTAATCTCCCCAACTCTGAAGCTGTTGAAGCATTCTTCCCAAACTTCCCCTCGGTATATTGCACCTGACCGTACTTCCTTCTACTGTTTAATCTACTCTATGCTGTTGAGTTATCATCAGAAAAACTGAATCTGATGAGAAACTACCTTATTGTCTGCATTAGAAAACCGAACTGGTATCAGGTCTAACATAAATCTGTTGTGAGACCATTTGTTACTGAAGACCATGGTAATAAACACAATGCAAGCAGAGTTTCTTTAACTCCTTGCACTTTGATTGTAATTTCAATACAATTGAAAATTGTATTAAATTTGAAGTTCAAGTCCAAAGATTTGCATAGTCAACGTTTACATAATAAGAAGTGCTGTCAGAAGAATAAACAGGCTTTCTTGTGGTAAACTATAAGCAAGCCACTAATAATGAAAACAAGCAGTGGTGGTCCACAGACACTGCATTCATCTGGTGATCCACATCTAATTTTTACTATTATTATTAGCAGTGTGATACTATTATTATCACATTCGTTATAAACTATAATGAAAACAACCACTACTACTAATAATAATGAAAACAAGCAGTGAGCCAAATGTTGTCAGATGAATAGACTTCGAAAAAGTGCGCCAGGTTGAACATATCAAGTGAACGCCCAGATTTCCTTTTTGATCCGAGCCTCTCATAGTCTTGCCAAATTCAAGACTTGCAAACCTTAAATAAAATAGTTAAAAAGATAAAAGAGTTTTCTCCCACACATCTTGATTTCGCCATTCATCCTTTAATTTCGCTAAAAATCCTGAAAGAGTCTCTTCTTCATAATGTGCCACGTAAAAAATGGCCGTCAGACGATGAAAAGTCTCACGATTCAGGCCGATTGTCTCAGCTCGTGATTCGTATTAACGTAAGGCTGCGGACTTAACGGAATTAACGAGACGGTGTCTGTCGCGGGCGCGTGCTGCGATGCAAACGCAACGGGCCGCTTCGAAGCAGCCTCAGGATTTTGATAACATGTGACTTTATCTGGAATTCCCGAGCGCGCAGGTAGCCTGTTTACTTAAGATAATAGCGAAGCGGAGTGGCTGGCTGAGCGTAGATGGAAAGCTGGCGGGGGAAAGGCGAAAGGATATTTCAGCAGGCAATGTTGAGTCGAATCTTCTCTCCGGCAAGAAGGAAGACGAAGAGGAACGAGGAGAAGGAGAGGAACAAGGAGACGAAGAGTAGGAGGAGAAGGTAGCGAGTCGAACGGTCGAGAAGGAATAGAGTCCCGGATATCGAGTGCCGAGTAGTCTCGGGTTAGCGATAGAAGAGGAACTCGAACATCCAAGAAGAAGAAGATGAAGAAGAAGAGAATCCTGACTGTGGTGGAGGAGGAGAGAACGGTTGTTGCTAGAGGGTTGCTTGGCCGTCGCGGTGGAAGAGGCTGCGAGAGTAAGAGCGAAAGAGTGAAATAGAGGAGGGTGAGATTCCCTCTCAGCCGGGCTACAAGAACTTCATTTTCCGAGCCATTACGCCCCGTCCCACTGCGCTACCCTGGAAACCCCTTTACCCCCTTAAATTAATTTATATCGAAATTTTAAATGACATTCATCGGGACGAACAATAAATAACGCTACCAGCGCCGGGGAAAACGGCATCGCGTTAGTGACGTCGACCTAGCTTTTTCGAACGGTCACGAAAATTTTCGACGGAAATACGAAACCGTTTCTTACCTCTATCGACGCCTTCGATTTTGCCAATTAATGCGTTGCGGTAATTACTGCCGGGATAAATTATACTCGACACATTTTCAAACACGATTCTTTACGGAACATTGAGTGATACTCGGCAGGTGGAAATTTCATAGAATTTTTTTAACGAATCTTTACAGGTAGTTTCACATCTTATATTTTTCATAGTTTCAGGAGGTTAATACGAGTATTTCGAGTAGGTAAATGAAATTCTTAATAATCTGTGTGACAAGTGTCACCCCGTGTAAGAGATGTGGCAGACAAAGTTAATCCTTCAAATGGGTTGTAATACTAGTTATTAACCCAGAGGGACTTTTGATGATGGCAGTTTTAGTTGAAGAGCTTGACAAATTATTTCGAAGTTATTTCTCTATTATTAACCCCTTGAGAACTACTTCTACTTCTTGAGTTGATATCGGAAAAGGTACTTTGTTTTATAATTTTTACGCCATAATATCACGTCAGAAAACTAGAAACACTTTATTTCAAGCATTAGTGTTGCAGAATGTGAATTCTCATCAGATGTAGACAATATTATACCGTAACAAAGGGGTTGATTGTTATTTTTATTTCTCTTTAGTTTACTCGGTCTACAGAACATGAAATCGCATCTTAAATTTCTTGTTTTAAATTACAGAAATACTTTTGTCAGAATGTATAACTTTTGTCAAGAGAAAGAATAATTGTATAAATTAATCTATGTGTCATCCTTTATCGTGACCTGTGCCTTTGAAATTCAGATTAAATAAAAAGTTTTTGCGAAAGACATGCAATAACCTCGAAAGAGAAATCAATAACCTTGAAAAGATAAAAGGTAAATGCCCTCGGCACCATTCATTCTATTTAATAGAATTTCTTCTTAGAATAGAATGTCTTAATAGAATTCTATAAACCACTCCTTTTCGTCCTTTGGAACAATTTAACTCCTTAACCTACAATTTTTCAGCAGTTATTGCTAATAATTAAGTTAAATAAAAAACTTGAAGTGTTACATACATTTTGGACTTATAAATCTTTAAGTACGAATTATTTAGAAGAAGACTGAATATAAACACATTTGTCGAAACTAGAATTGAATTCTGAATATCCAACTTCCCGGAATCCTTAATTCTAATCCTAAATTTCTCGAAATCCAAAATCTCGAAGCTTGAATAACCTACAGCAAAAATCCAACTGCGAAATGATTAATCAATTTTCGATTTGTTTTTAAGAAGCACGCATTTGTAGAATACAGTGGCTATTTATATCGCAAATGAATGTGGGTCACGAGTGTGACTCGATATTGCAAGTCAAGTGTCTTAACAGTAAATTAAGCACTGAACATTAAACATTTAATAGCGTATTAAATCGTACATAACCTCGAAAGAGAAATCAATAACCTTGAAAAGATAAAAGGTAAATGCCCTCGGCACCATTCATTCTATTTAATAGAATTTCTTCTTAGAATAGAATGTCTTAATAGAATTCTATAAACCACTCCTTTTCGTCCTTTGGAACAATTTAACTCCTTAACCTACAATTTTTCAGCAGTTATTGCTAATAATTAAGTTAAATAAAAAACTTGAAGTGTTACATACATTTTGGACTTATAAATCTTTAAGTACGAATTATTTAGAAGAAGACTGAATATAAACACATTTGTCGAAACTAGAATTGAATTCTGAATATCCAACTTCCCGGAATCCTTAATTCTAATCCTAAATTTCTCGAAATCCAAAATCTCGAAGCTTGAATAACCTACAGCAAAAATCCAACTGCGAAATGATTAATCAATTTTCGATTTGTTTTTAAGAAGCACGCATTTGTAGAATACAGTGGCTATTTATATCACAAATGAATGTGGGTCACGAGTGTGACTCGATGTTGCAAGTCAAGTGTCTTAACAGTAAATTAAGCACTAAACATTAAACATTTAATAGCGTATTAAATCGTACCATCGCGACTGAAAGAGATATTTAAGTGTTCGGTGCACTTTAAATAACAAATTACTTTTTCGTATCATAACTATTGAAAAAGATATTTGAGCGCATCAGCCTGTATATGAAGGCACTAGTCAGTCCACCCGCCTCGCAGAATGAAAAATAAATATCGCTCGCAAAATTCAATAAGAGAATAAGATATTCATGAAATTCGCGTGTTTTATTTCTGAAGAAGAGACAATATCAATAATCAGCTTTACTTTTTATAATGTTTGCAATATTAAAAAGACTGTTGTTTAAATCAGAATATTAGAAGCGGTGAAATTTCACGGACAATTAATTTTTAAAATCTGGTTCGTCGAATAACTTGTAACTATCGAGCTCTTTGATAAACTATATTCTTCGTGCGTTGGTCATAACAGAGAATGTGCAGCCCGTCCGGTGAACCGACTCTAGACGTATCTTTTGTGGTGCTTCTTCAATTTTGATCGCCACAAAACCTGTCCTAAAACCGTCTACAGTATCGGATCTCTGTGCAAAATTTCATGAAAAAATATTTTGTAGCTTTTGGCGATGACGCGATGTACATAAAATTGAACTGAGATTTATATAAGAT